CCCCCCCCGACTCTCCGTGAAGGGCTAGTTTTAATCGTTTCTGGACGATAAAATGTTCTCAAATGAATTCACTTTCTATGTCATTTCATGTGAGTCGACCTCTAAATTTGACTTCCGCATAATTTCGGCCAAGTCTTTCCATTTATGGTGACTTAACTGACATTTTACAGGAAAATTCGATTGTTTTAGGCCTATTTAAGGCAAAACTAGGTTTTCTGATTTTCGGTTCAGGGCTCCTTAAAATCGCGAACTTCTTTTCGTTGGCTGGTGTTAAGTGGTAGCCTAATAAGTACTTCACGCAACTTTGCAGCAATTTTTTCAACTAATCCCTCCTAGCCACGGCAGCATCACCCAGATTGTGTTTTGCGCCCCGTAAGAACGCAGTTTTTCACACATTTAAGGTGCGCTGTGCTACTTAATAGGCCATTCACGGCAAAGTAGTGAAGAGTTTGGTGTCGGACTCGTTTGATTCGGAAAGTGTGGACTCAGTTCTATCACTCAAGGTCAAATTCTGACGTATTCGTCATTTTAATGTAAAGCGGTGAAGCAAAAACGCGACCCCCTGCTGTTTAACTTGGACAACGCATGACGTCACTGCGTGACGTCATCGATCCCAACTTTAAAGAGGTTTCCCGCAAGTATGCATCACAGAAAGGACGATAAAACCACATCTATCCCTAGCCAATGACCAGAGCGGGCGTTTCCTTCCGTTTTATCTGATTTGAAAAAAGCGAAACCCCAAAAAACGGTACTTTTTAATTTCTCCATTGTAATGCTGCCTAGGGGCCGCGTCTTGGCAAAAGTAGCCATAGAACACAGTGTTTTTCACATGACTTTAAACCGCTGCCGCGGGAAAAGTAATGATCGCATACAAGCCAAATTTGGATATATGATAGATATAATGTTTCTGAAGAATATTAAATTTTTTTAATGAAAATTAATCTCCTTAAGGTTCCGGGTCGGAGTTTAATTCTGACCAGAGTCTAAGTAAGTGCGCAGTAAATCGCCGGAAACGTGACTTTGTATGGTATGTTTGGCCGCGATATCCCTGAAAATCGTAATATCTGTGTACATATCTTTGTATTTTCTGAAAAAGTCCTGTTAGTTGTAGCCTTTATAGGTGGC